GTGTTGTTGGATAGAGTTGTAAAAAAATATGTTTTTTAACTGAGCGATATAAACAAAAGATGATTAAAAAGTGACAATCACATTTTCGAAGGCATCTTAAGATGATATTTGCTTCAAAATTAAATTCACATTCTCTAATATTTATATTGATTTAAAGTAAAATATTCTTACCTGAATGGAATAATGTATTACATGAAATAATTAATAATGCTACATACATTATAGATCATTAGTTATTTATATTCAAATAATACCTATTTGTTGTATGTATAGAACATTTTCGTTTTTTTTTCCTAATGATTAAACAAAATAATTTAACTTAAGATTATATTTACAAACCGCGTATTTTCTCTAAGAAATAAACTTATTTATAAATCAATTATTTTTGTTTCTATGTTATTATTGTCTAGTTGGAATCAAGCGACATCTAATAAACATCTTATTTTTTATTGAGAACCAGATTACATTAATACAAATCAAATATTCAAATAGATGAAACAATTCTGCGAATATTATAAAACTTACAGATTTATTTAAAAAAAAAAGAAAAGATATGATCAAATCTTTTTTTTTTCCAATAACAACTATATCATCAAAAAGTTATACATCTGGATATTACCATGAACTTGAACACAATAGAAAAAAAGAAAGAAAGAAAGAAAGAAAATGTTTACACCAAGCTGTAATAGAACGAGTCAAAGAATAGCGTATATAGGTCAACTAAAAGCGTAAAAAGAAAAGAAAAAGCTTTTTATCGATATTGCCCGCTATTGAAGAAAGAAAGAAGAAAAAGAGAAAATTTACAATAGAAACAGAACATATAAAGATATATATATATATAAAGAAAAAGAATGGAAAAGAGAAGTAGAAAAAAAACAAAAACATCGAAGACAACATGATCATTTAAGGTATATACAATTGAGTCAACAACAATAATGTTGGATAATGATGATGACCCACTATTAAATATATCAAATGAAAATTCATCAAATAATCGTCGATGTCCAACATGTCAAGGAACTGGTTCAGTAACTCAATCACCCGGTCTTGTTGCTTTAATTCCATTGGATGATGTTCGACTTAAACGACGATATACATTTTTATGGATTATACTTACAATTTTGTTTTGTACATTAGCTGCTTCAGCTACTGTAGCCGTCCTTCTTCCACGTTCTGTACATTTATCAATAAAAAATCCTATTGTGATTGATGCTACTAATGATACATATCGAAATACAACATGTTTTCATTTAAAATTTTATCATCGTACATCTATTAAATCCGATAATTGGGTACCTATACATTTAATTAATTTAACAACATCAGTTGAATATCAACTTCTACCAATTGGACCTGATGCTGAAAAAATTTATGAACATAAAATGTTTTTAAGACCATTAGGTAAAATTCAATCGAATATAACTATACAACTTGATTTTGATACAAATACAATGGCTTATCGTGCATGTCATGGTATATTTCGACAAATGCTTATGTTGAAATTACGAACAACATTAACTTATGCTGATTTTCTTCTCGGTCGAATTCAAACAACAAATAATATAGCTTATCAATATGTTTTGTGTAATAGAGGAGAATGGAATCCAATGAAAAGTGTTATAATGAACATGACTAGAAAAGATTTATAAAAGTAAAAAAAAATAAATTATTCATTTTAAGATAAAGAACAAAAATTATTATTATAAACTCAATAATGTAACAGAATCATTTTTGTTTTTTAAATATAATCTTATTAAACTGGATTGTTTATTTAATAAATACTTGCTAATAAGATTTTTTCTATTTAAAATAATGTATGATTTCTTTTTTTTTTTGATTTTGTTGATACTTTTAAACTTTTTAAGGAAAGATTGTAGAAAATGTGACAACCACTCATTTTACTTAGTATTTTATACTCTTGAAAATGGCATTGTTAAAAAATAGCAAAGAATAGTCATAGTACAAGATTGTTATTTCGTGAGTATGTGAACATGATAAAAGATGCACAATGAATAAACTAACATAATTGTTTTTTTAGTAGGTTGTGATATTCTCTTTTAGAAAGATAATAATATAATAAAAAATTTAATAGTTTTAATTTTAAAATAGTGTTACATATGAATCAAATATCAAACAGTTTCAGATATATGTCGGAGATTGGGGTTTCTTATTGAATTTCTTCTTTTTTTTTTCAAAAGATTTAAAAACAAATGAAGTTGATGGAAACTTCTCGATTGGATTTTTAATGATTAAAAATGAGAGTATGCATAGTAGTTTATTTCTCGAGTAGTAGAAACAATATAGAATTAATGAAATTGAAATTATTGATCAGTTTTTTTTGCTACTCATCTAGCAGGCTTGAAGCTAACTTTATAGATACTGTTTCTTATTTCTTGTTTAACTTCTATCATTAGAGATTTGTCTTATTGACACATGACTATCATGAAAACGATAGTACCTATTGTGATGATGACATATTATTTTTATCAAAAAAAAAAAAAGAAAACAAATAGTTTTAAAGTATTCGTTTAATATCGATTGAAACCAAATCAAAGATAAAGAATATTCTAGTCAATAGTTGATCATTATTTCCGAATCCAACGAGATATTTGCTTTTAAATCCAAATATTGAAAATTTTAAAATAGAATTGAACATATCATAAGTTCTGCAAAAAAAAAGATATTTTGCATATTGATGAAAAATTGTTACTAAGTTCGAACAGAAAAAGAAAACGGTGAATGTAAGTTTAAATGGGACTTTTGTCACTCTTTCTCTCTCCCCAAGTCCAAGTAACAGGAGGTGGAGCAAGGATTGGGGTATTTTGCAATAGCAACGACAAAAGACGTGTCAGTAATAACAGTACTTAGATCATTCTGTAATTTACTAGAATTTTCCAAAACATTCTATGAATCTAAGATTCTAACTAGTCTAAATATTGCTTGTTCTAGTATTTAATTCAACGAAAGGGTCTTATTGTATAGGTGTCAATCAGTAAATTGATGGTACTACTGACTTAGCAGAGTCAGAATAGGATGGACATAGAAAAGTATGAACTAATTCAATTATAAGTTATGGCAAAACTCAACAGTATATGTCAAAATTCGTCGAGAGAAAGGATGGTGTGCTTGAAGATTAAATCAGTGTATATAATAGACTAAATATAATGATTGAACTGATGAATAATATGATATTTATCGCTTCTTATAGCATGTATCGTATATATTATCATTAGGAAAAAAGAAGTTACGTATTGAAAATATATCTGACATTAAAAAGAAGTTTTTTTTTCAGTATAACGATGTTAAATGAATTTAATAAATTGATAGTAATTCTTAATACAAACATTTTCAAAATGATAAAATTTCAGAGCGTGCCTATCAACAATAAAAATTGTTATAAGTTTGATAGATTCGTTTATTTTGGCATATTTTTTTTTTGAATAAATTGTTTTAACTCTTCTGACAATATACCATAAATTTCCAATAGTCCGAATTTATGAGTTCCATATTTTTACTCTTACAAGGCTGTACTGACAAGTTTTTTTAACACATACTAGATTCCTTGGTTATGAGATGAGTTCGTTGATATTTTTAGAATAATTTTTATCAATGATCGTCTTCGAAAATAATTGATGAAAAGATTTGTTTTATTATTGAGCATTTTGAAAAGTTTTCGATTTGATTTATCAAGTTTTCTTTTTTGTTTGTCAGAGATATAAAATGACTATTACTGAAGAAGAATTGAATTAAACCATGAAAAATCTTACGAAAGAACATACCCAATTATCGAACGGCATTCGAGCCTGTATTTTGGCTATGAGTAGAACTCACGAAGACTAAAATGTGATTTTTTTTTCTTTTTATTCCATGAAGTTGAGATTTTTCATTTGATATACGAGAAAAAAGCTATATTTTCATGCAAGAAGGTTCGATCAATGTTAAGATTACGTTCATTCAAGTCTCTCATGTAACATATTAGTGAAAATAAATCCGTTCTTTTTTTTTTTAATATAAAGTGACAGCAAGAAAAACATAAACTAATGCATCAACTTCTTCGATGTACCATCGAATATATCTCCATGATCAAATGTAATATCGGTCTTCATTGTATTTGATAAGCATGATATAAAATTTTGAATTCTTATGTAAAGATATTCAATAAGTTCTATTGTTTTAGAATGTTGAACAGATCGAAAATCAATCTCCTTAGAAATCTAAAGTGACTATGGTTATTGTTGAAATAGAATATGAAAAAATGGTTAAGTTAGTTAGTATGAGTTTCACTACGGTTGACGCTTACGTGATTCTTAAGCAAAGAGAAAAAAAAACATTTTTTTTACTTATTTTTTCTTTCTACAGCAATACTTAAATGAACATTATCTAGAATATATATGATTCTATCTATGTTAAAATTTTCAGATCTCAATTTCTCGAAATAAAGAAAGAAAATTCGAAGAGAAACTAAAATATTTCATATTCTTAGCAACCAGATCTCCGTCTAGGCATACCATGGGCCTGAATTCTTTTCGAATTTTCTTAGTTTCACTCAGTCTTATTCATAGGCCAAATATGGGCTCGAACGACGACTGACAGTTGGATATGTTCTCTCGTTAGTAAAATAATATTTAAAAACGAAATGATGCTTTCAAAACAAAAAAAATGAAGTAAACATCATGTTTTTTTCTTTTGTATTTAAAAATATAATTAATTGATTTTCGAACCAATTTTGAGAATCTAGAAATATTTATTATCATCTTATTATAGTCGTAAGTATTTTTGTCAATAAGTTCAAGTCTGTAAAAAGTTCGATTACCGTAAATAAATCTATGATTAAATATTTAGTCATAGTTTGTATTTAACACGTTGCGTCAACTAGGCGGATATGGACATGACAAAAAAAAAACGTAGAAAATAAAAGAAAAAGAATTGTGCAGCCAAGTGAAACGATAGTAGTAACATTCATATTTATTTGCAGTACAATATAATATAATAATAGTGATATGCCCACAAGATACTATGGTCGTCGTCGTTTTTTAAAAATATTACTGATTTCAGTTATTTTATCGCTGATTTTCGTTGTAATTTTTCTTCGTCGTCAAGATATCTTCTTATTCAGTCAATTTTTATATGGACTTCACTTTAGTTATTTAAATAATTCAAAGGAAGTGTCTAATCATATTATACTACAACCAGCTCCAACAACAGTGCTACAAATTTCTTTATCTTCACTCAAACCATTACAGAAAACACAAAAAGGTGTTTTATCTTCAATTGAATTTATTAATCCAGTTTTCTTAAATTTAGAATCTGAATCATCGAATATCATACCGATTATAGTGTTATCTAATGCATCTAACATTGAAGCACGTGATGCGATACGACGAACCTGGGGATATGACCAATTATATCAAAACAATAAAATACAAATTAGAGTATTTTTTCTTGTTGGTATCGAGGATTTTATGATGAAACGTATACATGCAGAGCAATTACTTTTTGATGATGTTATTCAAGTTCATATACCTGATATGTATTCATTTATTGCTTACAGGGAACTTTCTGCAATGCTATGGGTAAGATCATATTTACCACGTGCATCATTCTATATTAAAACTGAAGATAATGTTATTATTAATATGAAATTTATTATCAATAAATTCTTGCCAACTATCGAACGTACTACGAATAAAAATATAGTCATTGGTTGGTTTGGTTCAGAACATTCTATTCCAAGGGGTCGCTATCAAAAATTTATCAATATTGTTTTGCCACCATCAGATTTTAATTTACAGTATGCTATGAGTTTATTATATATTGTAACATCAAGAGCTTCTGATCGTATGCTTGATGCAATAAGTCATGTTAATCGTATCGAACATCCAGGTGATCCATTTGTAACAGGTATTCTTCGAGATGTTGCTCATGTTCAAATAAAAAATTTAGCAACATCTCCCGAAAATTATAGCTATAAATTATCTAATGAAACGTGTGGAAAAGCACTTGAAACAAATTCAAAATTATTATTTTGTACTTCACCACTACTTATTAAATCAGTAGACGAATATTTTAAAGCATGGCATATACTTCTTAGTCAAAATTAAACAAGTGTTATTTGTGACATACGAAAAAGTAACGACGTTTGTTAGATAAAAACTCTACAGAATAGAATTTTTCAAATCTATACTTTAACAAATGTTAAGCCTAATAGGCATAAATATTTTTGTTTGATTAAATCGTTCGAATAATCATTAATTAATAAACATAATATTTTGGTTGGCAACCGTTACCTCCTCATATCATTAATAAAAAGGATTAGATAACGAATAGATAGATAGATGGATTTATTATTCTTATCTTTCGAGGTAGCGTGAAAGTGAAAAAGTAAAATAAACATCAGAAAAAAAATCAATAGTAAATAACTAGATAAAAGTTCTTTTAGTGGATTTCTAGTTCGTTCGCCGTTAAACACTAACGCTTGAGTCTATTATCCGAATGTGCGACCTCTAAATCACAATGGAGAGGTGTCATTTGCACACATAATTTTTCACCAGATGTTGTTAACAAGACATTCTTTTACATTATTTAGAGATTTTATTTTGTATACAACAATCTGTTTCATTTGATGTTAGATAGAAATTGATATAATGTTAATGTTTAACAGTTTGTTTTATATTTCTTGATAGTATCTATTTAATTGCTCTAAAAAGACATAAAACAATGTTTTGATACTATCTTTCTGTATCAAACTTGACCTAATGTCGATTGTTTATTTGGTGTCATTTTGTTTCATTAACACGAGTCCCTTGGTGTCTAACAAATATATAGAAATCATCAGGAATGCAGCGATGACCATCAAACGTTGGTTAACTGTCAAATTCCTAGAACTGATCTTATTTTACCGTTTCATGCATTTATCATATTTCTTTCACCGGTGCATACTGGGCAAATTCTATCGAGTATGTGAACAAATTTTTTTCATAGAAATATTAGCTTCTTGTACTCAAAAATAAGATTGATGAAAAAAGAAAGAGACCATTTACGATGGGAAATCCCTGAGGGAAACCCTTACACTAAACTCTTGTGAGATAACTTTTTATCTTAAAAATTGACAAATGACAATTCGCGAAAAGCTTTTAGAAAATTTGTCTCTCATTCTAGAAGTATTTGCGCATTATCTGTATATTAACTGAATGTATGCTCCAGATGGAGAAGAACATCCTCTGAAAGTCTTGTCAATATCGAATTAGTAACTTCACTGAAGATGTCTGTTCAGACCGAAAACTTTTCTTATAAATCGATATAGCAGAAGTCTTTGTTTCAGACTATATATGATTTATTGTTCAATTCTATTTATTTTTCATGAAAAATATGATGTCTTTTTCTAAAGATGCTACATGTACGGCTAAGTTTTTCCAATAAATTTAGTAGTTAGGACAAAATTGTCTTATCAAAGTCTATAAGTTACTATTTAAATCTCGAAAAAGTTCACGTTCATTTTTTTTTCATCTAATGTTGACATTGTCGCTCAATGTGTATGAATCTCGAAATAGATTTCATTGAATTAAAAACAATTTCTTTTAAAAGAAAAATCTATATACAAGAAAACATTCTATAAGTATTTTTATTTGAGAAAATATTTATTATAAATCTGCTATGTAACATATCTTCTGAAGATGACATAATAAATCATATAAAATCAATGGTTAGACTAAAGTTGATAGTCAAACAATTCAAACTTCGATTTTTTGAAAAACGAGTCTAATTTTTATACAGATAAAACATCCTAAAAATTTTAGTTCAATAAAAATTTATGACATTAGATTTAGAGAGAGAGAAAGAGAACAAAATTCTAGATACCATCAACTTTTGAAATAAACATTTTGTTGAGAAACTTTTATACTATTTATTTTATACTAATTAATTTCAAAACTTAATCATCCATCATATTTTCATCAGTTTCACAAATAAAATATTTTTTGAACATAATTGTAAGTCTCTTGATGATCGAAAAACTACGTACTAGCTATTATGTAAAGAATCATTAACTATCGATGTTATATAAGATCATATTCAAAAAAAAAAAAAGTGAAACAAATTTTATATTTCTCTTTATGTTCTATTGCATACATAGAGAAGAACACAAAGTTTTTTCTTCCAAAAAAAAAAAAAGAACATTTAAATCAAGAAAAAGATATTCAATTATGAATATGACTTAATACTAAATCTCATATGCTTCATTAAATATTTTTATATACATTCATAATAAAACGATAAAAAAAAAAGAACTGAGGAAACACATTCACGCATACAACAATAAGAAAAATGACAATTATTAAACTTCGATAATTTCCTGTTCAGCAAGTCGAGCAATCATCATTGTTGATGATTCATTTCCTGTAATGTTCGCCGTAGGCATATGTGCAAATGTTTTCAAGGTTTGTGATACTGTATTTGGAGATGATAATGATAAATCATGATGAGTTGGTATAGATGATGAAAAATACGTAATAGTTATTAATTGATTATCAGTTGAAGAACTAACATTAGATGGATTTGTGGGTGAAAGAAAACGTTGTTGATCTATATTTGATGATGTTGTTTCATAACCACTATCACGTACATGAGGATATGATAATGATGAAGAAATACTTGAATGACGATTATCATTCATAAGATCATATCTATTATGATTGGATTTTAATGTAAATGTTTTAAATTCATTTGATTGTTTTACTATTGATAATGAAGATTTTGAATTTAATTGACATAAAAGTTGCTAAAAATAAATATACATTTTTTTTTTACATTAATGTATCCATAAATTACTATTTTCTGTCTATTGATTAGAATAGATTAAATGAAATTAGATACTATTCAAGATGTCTAACATTTTACATCATCATACATGTCAATATCCTATGGCATCTGAACGTTTTAATTGATTCATAAAATATGCATTACTTATTGTTATATACATCTCAAAGTATCCTTTAAAAAAAACAACAACAAATCGTTTTGTTTCTATTAAATGTTAATGTTCATTCAATCTATATATTTGTCACAATTACATGTAGATTTGATTATTCTATTGGGAAAAAAATGAGAGACGCTAGTCGGTCGTTTGGTGACATTAAATGGATAATCGAATTTATCTTCTTTCTTCTCTATTTGTAATTTACACTTGGCAGACTAAGAGACAGCATTTTTTTTCCTCATTATTCTCGCTTCGTTATCATTTGACATCTCTTTATTCTCATCAACAAAGACACTAGTTATTAAATGGATTTTTAATTAAAAAAATGTCATCGTTGTCATTCTAGTAACGATGACATTGGCGTGAATTAATGCATCATTGAACAATGAATAGAAAGCAAAGGTAACATATGGAAATAGTATTAATGTATATTCGTAGAATTTTTTCTTTTTTTTTTTTCTTCTATGTATCATCTGGTCTTTTATATTCATTTCTTTGTGTTTTTTTTTTTCGTCTTACCTGCTGTTGTTCATCATTATCAATAGAATGATTGACATTTTCATTTTGAGTTGTTTTACTATTTCCAGCAATATTCAATGATGATGTTAGTGATGTTTCACCTGGTCCATTATCAAGTAAAGGTAATCGAGTTTCCGTTGGACCTTGAAGACGATAAAGTGTATGTGAATCATTTTTATGTTTACGTAATCTTCGTTGATGACATGAATTTGATGAAAGATAAATAATTTTAATTGAAATTAAACTAATAATAATTGCAATTGATAATAAAATAATAACAAATATAACATTAAATAATGTTAAATTAAAATATGAATATGAACGTCGAGATATTAAATAAAGTGCTTCTAAATATTCACGTGCTATATCAATAGCTAGTGTTTGATTTGTTTCATTTGTACCAATTGTTAAAACTAATTGAGCATAACGAATACATGATTGATCAATAGTTTCATTTATAAGATCACGAAGACGAAATTGTAATATATAATATTCACGTTCAGGTAATATATGTGCATATAATAAATATTGATTATGTTGAATTAAATCAATTTTAAATATATTATTAAAATTAAGTAATTCAATTGAACATGTATCATTATCACCATCGAATAATTCTAAATAATAATGATTAAATTTTTCATTTGAATTATTAAACCAAAGATCAATATTAAAAAATAGAGCTGTTGAATTATTAATTAATTCTGGACAAAAATCATTACGATTTAAAATATGAATAGTTACAGGTACACTTGTATTAAGACCATCATTATCAATAGCTAAAATTAAAAATTGATAAATTGAACGACGTTCATAATCAATATCTAAATAAGAAAAAAACAACAATCTTTCTACAAAACAAAAAAAAAAAAGGGTTATTAAATAGATATTTATTTACCAACAGATGCATCCTTTAGATATAATGTACCATTTGTTGTCAATTCAAATGGCCAATCATTTGTCATTGTCATATCATTATATACTAATTTGTAAGTTAATTCACTATAGTATTCATCAGCATCCGTTGCATGAACATAACCAATTGGTGATAGGTTAGACCATGTTTCAGGTATTTCAAATACATATTCTGATAAATCAAATATCGGATAATTATCATTTACGTCAATTAAGTTGATTATACAACGAACTGTTGATGATAAAGGTTGAGGTTGGCCATGATCAGATGCAATAATATCAAATTCATAACTAGATTGTTCTTCTCGATCAAGTTTACCAATTAAACGTAATTCACCTGTAATTGAATTTAATGAAAATATTGTTTGATTATTTAATTGATATTCAATTTGACTATTTAATGTATTTTCTTCATCGATATCTATTGCATGAAAATGAAGAAGAATTGTATTTATAGGAATTGTTTCTGTTATATTAATTAAATAAAAATCTTTATCAAATATTGGTGCATTATCATTTTCATCCAAAATTATTAAAGTAAAATTTAATATAGTTAAAAGTGATTGAATACCATGATCATATGCTTTAAGATAAATTTCATATTGTGATTGTTCTTCACGATCAAATATACGTGCAGTAAACATGAGAAAAGCTTCATTATTAAATAATTCTTTAATAGAAATTGATCCATTA